AATGGCTGGGGGTGGTAGCCTACTAGACTGCCCCCACCTTGTGAGCCTGGTGATATCTATCGGCACTGGCTTGGGGCCGCCTCAGCCTTAAGCCTGGAGCAGCTTTTGTGAGAGCCGAAGCCAGAGCGGGGGGGGGGGGCGTGGCGCGGCCTGGCTCCGCCCCCTGCTCTGGCTTCAGCTCCCACAGCAGCTGCTCCGGGATTAAAGCAGAGGCAGTACCAAGCCACCACCCCCAGCTGGTCTCCACTGTGGCCAGCCTGGTGCTAGCTCTGCCACCGCTAGCTTGGTACTGCCTCCTCAAGGATGGAGCGACTGCTATGGGAACTGAAGCCAGAGCCGGGGGTTGAAGCCAGGCTGCGGCATGCCGCCCCCCCCCCCCCGGCTCTTGCTTCGGTTCTCTGCCATTGCTGACTTGGTGCTGCCTCCTCCTCAAGCCGAAGGAGGAGGCAGCACCAAGCCAGTGGCGGTAGAGGGCCAAAGCCAGAGCCGGGGGCGCATTGCGCGGCTCCGCCCTCCCGGCTTTAGCTCCCGCAGCAGCCGCTCAATGCTTGAGGAGGAGGCAGTACCAAAACAGTACCAGGCTCGCGAGGTGGGGACAACTGAGCAGGCCACCACCCGCAGCCGTTCTCCAAGGTAACATGCCTTCACGCTCCTCCTCCTTGCCCCCTCCCTCCCCCTTCGCTCCTCCTCCTCAGGCAGCTCCGCTTTGGAGATGGCGAGGGAGGCGAGCAGCTGCCCACAGCAGCCGAAGCAAAAACCAAAAGTACCCTGAGATATCCGGCGTACAAGACGACTCCCCATTTTGAAGATGATTTTCTGGGGTTCAAAAGTCGTCTTGTACCCCGGAATATACGGTATCTTGACGTCACTCAAAACATTTTGTCCCAAGAGATTCACTTAATTTGTTTTGAAGTTTCTTGTGGACGTGATTTAGTGAGAGGTTTTGGTGCAATCCTGTGTTTATATCCGGAATTAGGCACTGTTGGGTTCATACACAAGAAAATTCCCACCATTCCTATTATGCAGAGCTTTTTCAGGAAATACTGAGAATACAATACCGTTTGAATTTAGCAGTATTTGTTGCAGTTATGTGCTTTCAACTTTATGAATTTTGTGTGACCTGAAAAACACTGTATAATGGTTGGGAATAGGTGGGAATTTTCTTGCATATAGAAATCTGTCAGTTGTTGAATTGAATTTTCATCATCCTCACAACGGGTCAATGGTAAAGGATTGTGCAACTTATAAGAAAGAACCGATCTGTTCTTCAAGGAAACATGACATTTGATGACCTTAACACTGTTGATGCAAAGCGTCTAACTCAGTGGTTCTCAACCTTCCTCATGCCACAACCCCTTAATACTGTTCCTCATGTTGTGGTAACCTCCAACCATAAAGTTATTTTTGTTGCTACTTCACAACTGTAATTTTGTTACTGTTATGAATCGTAATGTAAATATCTGATATGCAGGATGTGTTTTCATTTACTGMACTAAATTTGGCACAAATACCTGATACACCCAAATTTGAATACTGGTTGGGTTGGGGGGATTGATTTTGTCATTTGGGAGTTGTAGTTGCTGGGATTTATAGTTCACCTACAWTCAAAGAGCATTCTGAACCCTKGCAACAATGGAATTGAACCAAACTTGGTACATAGAACCCCRATGACCAACAGAAAATGCTGGAAGGGTTTGGTGGGAATTGACCTTCAGTTTTGGAGTTGTAGTACATCTACATCAAGAGAGCACTGTGGACTCAAACAATGATGAATGTGGACCAAATTTGGCACGAATACTCAATATGCCCAAATGTGAACACTGGTGGAGTTTGGGGAAAATATACCTTGCCATTTAGGAGTTTTAGTTGCTGGGATTTATAGTTCACCTACAATCAAAGAGCATTCTGAACCCAACCAACAATAGAATTGGGCCAAACTTCCTACACAAAAACCCCACATGACCAACAGAAAATGCTGTGTTTTCTGATGGTCTTTGGCAACCCCTCTGACACCCCCCTCGCAACCTCCCGGGTCCCGACTCCAGGTTGAGAAACGCTGGTCTAACTCAAGAGAGAATTTGGTTCAAAAGTAGAAATTGAAAGGTGTCATAAATGAGAACTTTGTTTCTTGATTTTTGCAATGACTCAGGTGCTGATTTGACATTAGAATTGTCTGGGCAGTTAGACCTTTGCACTCTTGTCATGCTAATGCTGAGTTCCAGTTAAAAGTGAAAATGGAATCGTATGTGTTGAACAATTTAGCCTTCTCTCTGTCATCTATTAACATTTCACAATCTTCTCTATATCATTTCCTTGTTTTTTCTCTTGTGATAAACATAGCTTTAAAAACTCCTTTTTATTATTTTAACCTCTCTAGCAAACCCGAGCTCATTCTGAGCTTTAGCTTTTCTAACTTTCTTCCTACATACAATAGGATATTCTAGGAGATTCCTAGAGATATTAATCAAATCCACAAAACTGAAACTTCAAATGTGAGAGGGCGACCGTTTTTAATAATTAGCAGAGGAATACTATGTTGTGTATGTTTGCAAAAGCAAAACCTTAGATGTGAAAGGCCGGCTGTTTTTATAGTTAGCAGAGGAATATTATGTGTGTGTGTTTGCAAAAGTGAAACCGCAAATAGGAAAGGCTGAGTGTATTTTGTAATTCGCAGAGGAATACTATGTGCATGTTTTCCAGTTTATATCAGATGTGTTACTATGATGAATCAGTGGAGTTTTCCATCACTGTGACTTTATAGGGGCCACAAGTACATTTCTGAGGAGTTTTTATGTTGAACATTGGAGAGGGAACTGTTGCCAATTTCAATATAAATATCTTTTTCCTGCTGTTCTGTTAACTTATTTAGAAGTATATTGTACTTTGAGATACTTCCACTATATAGTTCTGCTTGGTTGGTTTCCTGTGTCTAGCGGACTTTAAAATGCTGTGTTTTGGCTCTTAAAATTGTAAAAGTGGCTTGTAATAAAAACTACAACATCCTGTAAATTGTAAATTTTGGATGTGGATTCATCTTGTTATGTTTCAAATAATAATAATAATAATAATAATAATAATAATAATATTTGTAGGCTGCTCCCTCTCCCTGAGGGGTCTCAGGGCGGCTTACACACAAAAAGGCAAACATACAATGCACAAACATATGAAAATACCTTAAAGTAATACAACATAATACAAAATAATAACAACAGTGAGCTTATCACATAATGGAATTAACATCAAATTGAAAAACATGATATAAATAATTATATAAAACAAATTACACAAATAACAGTCAATGTTAAAACACCTATAATGATAAAAATAATTAAAATAGAAGAAAAATTGGCTGTTATAGTTCTTTAAAATGTATCATAGTGGCCACAGGGTACAAGTAAGTCAGCTAACATTCAATAAGATTAGTATAGACTGCTGCAATGCAACCTGAGCCCTGCTACATGCACAATGGAGGACTTCCTTGTGGCAACCCAGAGGCACTCCAAGTGGCCAGCTACTGGTCAAAGGACATTTAATCAACTACCAAGCTTGCAAATTCTGTGTTTTGTCTGTTTGTTTGTTTTTGTTAAAAATGTAATACAAATGTCTGGTTGCTGATGACACAATAAATAAATAAATAAATAGTATAGACTGTCCTAGTCCTCCTCTCCATATGCCAAAGTGCAGAAATGTGTTTTCAAGAGTTTTTTTTTAAAGGAGAAGAGGGTGGGGATCGTTTTTATTTCTTTAGGGAGGGAGTTCCAGAGACAAAGACCGATCACAGAGAAGGTCCCCTCTCTCATTCCTACCAACTGTGCTTGTGACAGGTGTGGGACTGAGTCAGGGTCTCCTCCGCTGACCACAGTGCCCAAGATTTCCTATATAAGGAGATGGGATTTGACAGATATCCTTGGCCCAAACTGTTTAGGGCTTTAAGAAGACTTGGACCTTGCCATAAATCATAACAGCTGCTTTATTATTAATTTTTCCTAGAATTAATTTTTCTTAACTTTCTGTGACATTGGAAAAGTTTCCTATTGGGTAGGGTCAGAGGGGGAGAGAGTGTCAAAAAGTAGAACAGGAATTGGCAATGACTGTTCCTAGAAGGCATTTTTCATCCTTCACAGAATGAGATCATCCTCCCCAGAGAAATGTATATTCTGCTTGACAGAATATGACATCAGTGCATTAGTTGAGATGAGGTAATGCTTTAATACTCCCTCAAAGTTGGCTAGTAACAGCATTATTCTCTCAAGAGCTTTGGTGCTTCTGTATGTTAGCATCAGTGCAGTGGAACAGAAACAAATAATTGCTGACAGAGCATGTGTCTGACTGCACAAAATCAAAACGAATGTCTTATAGATGGATCTTTCTGTGACCTTTTGTTTCTACACCTGTGGCCACCTCACCTCATTTCAAGCCTGTTGTCTTTTCAACCAAAGCATGATTATTTTTAAAGAAAGGACATTTTATGTGTTTCGTTTTGTACCTGTACATAATAATAATACTCTTAGAATGTTAATTTTGCAAGCATTGGAACATGTTTATGCTCCCTGAAACTGCAGGCTGTTCAGTAATGATAGTTATAAAAATCTCGACCTCAGAAGCTTAGTAGAATGATGTTCAGAAAAAAAGTCAATTAACACTTCACACTTTTAATCATTGGAGTTGTTTTCTCTTCATCTGGGAGGAACTGAAGGAAATTCATATTTTTATGTTTATCTTAGTTAATAAAATGGCCCCTAAGATTCTTAAATAGCTGGAACTAATTTGTCTCAGATAGGATTTGAATCAGAGTTTGAAGATGTTTTGAATTACATTCCTTTAATTTGGCTACCAAATGGACCCTCAGAAACTTTTGCAGAAAAAGACGAGGATATATTTATTGAAGCACACAGTAACTTGACAAATGTTAACCAACTGCATATAAGGTATAAAACAAAAAAGGTAGACCTGTATACAAAATTAAAATGTATTAACATTTTGCCCTTTATTTCAAACAGAAACAATTATGGCAGACATAAACCATATTTTGAATTCATCACAAACATTCACAGATGCAAGAAAATCCTCCAGTTCTGAAGGGTAAGTGGGGCCTATCGTTGGGGCAGTTTGTTTTTCTGCTGCCATTTTAATAACTTTTCTAGGCAGTGCATGGTTTGGGTTTAGTGGGTCTCCTTAAAATAGATGAAGTAGCCACCCCAGGATGCATCACTGTCTCCCATAGGCTTGGCACCAATTACAGATGGATCAGCAAGCATGCAGTAGGGGTGACTGACTACTCTCCTTTGCCACTATGGGCCATTTGCCCATTACTTTGCAATGAAAGAGAAGGAAAACAAAACAGTGGATGCAGTAGCTCCCTAGCTTTAATATGTTGTTAAAATGATGTAAAGAAATGCCCTAAATACTGACCTACTGACATTGTTTTTGATTTTGGAGATACCACTTGTCTGTTGTACCTGATTCTGTTTCAAACTCAGACATGTAAACATAAAGCTGTGAAAGAGAGGATGCGAATAGTTGGTGACTGGCAACAGAATTAACAGTTTACATCTGGTGTCTTTGAGATCTCATAAGATTGCTTTATTTGGTGGATATTAATTCATCCTCCCTCCACCTTTAAAGAGAATTTGTGCAACAAATGCTGGCTTCAAGAATCAATAGTTTTAAAGGACTTACTGTTCTATTTCCCTTAGATCATTTCAGAATTGAGACTAGCCACTTTAAGCCCCTCCTCTTTGGCTTGTGCCACATACATATGTGTGTGTGTTGGTGCTAGATAGAAGGTGTATATTGTACGTATGTCCTAGTTGCAGTGGGTTTTGCATTTAGTAGCTCATTTATGTTTCTGTGTGGGAAAAACCACAAAGAGTGTGGTTTTTCCCCCAATTCCTTCTTCCTGGTTTGGTTTTATTGTATTTATTTTAATGCAAAGCCATCTGAGTGTTACTCAAATATACAGAACATTCAGAGAGACATACTTCATTTTTCTTTCAGATGCTCAAGGAGACTGGGATTTATTTTGTCATTAGATTTTCTTTTCTTTCAAATTTATCTGTAGCTGTAATAGAAGTGTGTGTGTGTGTACACATATACATACATACATTAGTTGGTATTGTGCATTTTAGGGAACTATTTTTTTCTAGCTACCCCTCATAACATTAGCATTTACATTATATTGCTTTTTTACCACAGGAAGAGCATACCTGTTAGTAAATCTGTGGATTCTGTGATAGAAGCAGATGAGAGTTATAGAATGGACCATCCAGAAATGGGGCTGTGTATTTTAGTCAACAATAAAAACTTCCATCCAGCTACTGGTAAGGCCTTTATTTTATTTTATTTTATTTCCTTTTTTCCAAAACTTTCCTTCATGAAAATAAACAAGATAATTAACATTAAGCTTGTCAAGCTATTTCCTAGAAAGTGATAAATACTTGTATCTTGGACTTCTGCAAAGTTACAAGCTCTTAAGTTCATTCAGCTGTGTGGAAATTAAAACCCCATGGAACAGTTTCCTTTAATTTTTTTGTTTAAGAAGTTTTCAAATGCTTTTTTTTCTGGGCATAGTAATAATTTGGTTCACTAAGGCAAATTCCAGCTGTTCTTACTACTCACCTTGTAAATTATTTCCCTGAACTTGTCCCTTGCCCCTATTGTATTTGCAGCTTTTTCAGTGTAATTGCTATTTTTAAACATATGGGACATCTCTTGATTCTGCCCTCCTTGTATTTTTCAGTCTAAACTGCTTTTGTAAATTATATGTATGTGAAAAACATGCAGGAACAAAGCTGCTAGCAACAACTGTATAGATATAACTCTTAAATACAACTCTGCACATAGGTTTGCTGGAAGTGAAAGCAACATTGTATTTTTATTTTGATATGAAGGGATGAGTTATCGATCTGGTACAGACAGAGATGCCGCACACGTTGTAGACACTTTCAGGACCTTGGGATATATGGTCAAGGCTTATAACGATCTTGCGTGCAAACAGATTGTTGATGTCCTTCGTAATGGTGAGTAGTGACTTGATGGGTAGATTGCTAATTGTGCTGGATTGAAAAATACAATTAGCAGAATACTTAGAATTCCTATTGTCTCCTCGCCTTAGGAATTTGAAATCCACTGAGGATTGATTACAGGAATCCCCTCGGTGTCCACCTTTAGTTATCAACATTCACCAATGTTCAAGAACCATCATATTCAATGGCATATTTTTTAAAAAATTATTTATTTATTTACAGTATTTATATACTGCTTTTCTCACCCGGGGGGGGGGGGGCACTCAAAGTGGTTTACACAGAAACAGTGACAAAATTAAATGCCTTACAAATGTACACAATCAACACTGTAACAAAGTATATAATTAATGAGACAATTCATCATAAGATACAAAAAAAAGACATTTAAATCATCTAGTAAAAACATTAAAATCACGTGATTCAAACGTCAATTGCACATATTTCACATTTGCTTCTTGTACTGTGTTCCTTATATGAAATGGCAAAATCAAGGTTTGCTTTCTGGAGTTTGCTTGTGATTTTTTCAAGCCATGCATCAATACTTCACTTGGTCAATTGGAATATTGCCAGTGACTTCATTGCTAGATACTCCTTTAACTAATACTGGTCATCTCAGAGAACATCACCCAAGGTCTTGCAGCAATTTGCAATGGCTTCCATGGAAAATCAGATATAGGCAGTCCCCGAGCTACAAACATCTGTCTTAAACGACTCATAGTTAAAAATGGGGGTGAGACAACAGGAAGTAAGAGAAATCCACCCCTAGGAAGGGAACTTAACTCCTGAAAGTGTTATTATCATGGGGAAAAGGTGTCTCCACTGAAACTTTATCACCGGTCCTTCTTTCCACAGCAAGCCCATTTTTTCAAAGCCCAATTATTACATGGACAGAAAGTGAGGTGAAATCTTCTGAACAGGAGCAGACAGCAAAACAAATACAACAGGGGTGTTAACCCTTCCTTGTGCTATCTAAAGCTAAAGAATGTGTATTTTTGCCTGGAGTTTCACTTTAAAAATGTACCTCCCCATCTTGACATACATACAAATTCACCTTAAGAACAAACCTACAGAACATATTTGGCTTGTAACTTGGAGACTGTCTGTAGCAGACACACTTTTTGGAAGCTACTTTATTTCACAGTCTGCCTCATAATGTTTGTAGTTGTTCTTGCCCTACATAAATGCTATAAGGTATACTGTGTTGCAGAGTATAGTTCCAGTAGCAGATTCCTCACATTCTGTGCTACAATTTGAAAATAAGTGGTGCACTTCAGGGAACAGCCTACAACAATCTTTGACTTTGTGGAGGGTTTTGACTGCTCAAGCTAGGTTTTTTAAATAGTTGTGGGTTAATTTGAGCACTCAGTGAGTATCTAAGAACAGTCTTCATTTTAGATTTTAAAAACAACTGCCCCAAATTATGTTTGAGTTTTTACGAACAATGGTATCTCATTTTATAACAAACATAATGCTTTTCTTGGACATTTTGAAGAACAGTAGAGTTTTTCAGGTCTGCTGTTAGCAAAAGAAAATGTCCAAGGATTAATATTAAAATTCAATATCTAGATTTTTAAATATATATATCTTTTTTTCTTTGTAAGTTTCCAAGGATGATCACCACAAGAGGAACAGTTTTGTCTGTGTCTTGTTAAGCCATGGAGAAGATGGGCTGATCTATGGTACAGATGGCCCTCTGGAGCTGAAAATGTTAACTAGTTTCTTCAGAGGAGACAGATGCAAGTCTTTGGCAGGAAAGCCAAAGCTCTTCTTTATTCAGGTAACGACTATAAATGGACAGATTGTAAAGCTTACTATTACTATTATTATTATTGTTGTTGTTGCTGCAGGGCTGGGTGGCCATCTGTTGGGAGCGCGTTGATTGTTCTCTGACTACCTCAGGGATAATGGCATTTTGTGTAAATGTTTGTACGGCAAGTATGAGATGTGCAGCTATATTTTGTGACATCAAACAAATATCCACTATGTCTCATAATATTCCAGGTACTTGGGAAAGTATTTTTTAAAAAGGAGTTAGTAAAAGTCAATGGCAAAATTCATATTTTTGTGTGCAGAAATTTGTAGATTGTGTTTCTGGCAACTCCAGTTGAATGCAGAAAAGACTTCTGTCTGAAACCCTGACAGAAATAGATAGACCAGTGATCTGGTTTGGTATAAGGCAGCTTTGTTTTTGTTTGAGTCTTTAAGCAGAATGGTTCATTATATGGAAAAAATGCCCATTTCATGACATAAAGTTGTTTAGCATAATGATATGTTTTGTTTAATTACTGGCAATTTCAGTTCATTTTGCTAAACAGATAAGCTTGGCCAAGATCTTGCACTGAGAGGCCTACCTCCAACATATAAGCTACTCCTCACCTCTCTTTTCCCTTCCAATAGGCTTGTAGAGGAACAGAACTTGATTCTGGTATTGAAACAGACAGCGGCCCTGATGAAAGCATGTGCCAGAAAATACCTGTAGAAGCAGACTACCTGTACGCATATTCTACCGCTCCTGGTAAGATAAAAGAATGCCTGGTGCAACCTTTTGGTTAAAATACATAGGGCAAGATTCAATATGAGTTATGCTCTCAGAAGACCTTTTGAAATCCGTGGATTGAAATCAGTCACAACCCATTTGTTGTTTTAGTGAGTCTATGCTAAATGTGGTCTGAATTCAACCCACAGATACTCTTATAAATATGATAGATTGTTCTTTTGTAAAATAATATTTACCATTCTCTCAGTTCATTATGCTCAATAAATGCAGAGAATGAACCTTTTGGTTTCATCCAGGAAAAGGGCAGGATCATTGTAAAAATGAATTACTCATATTCCTCTTAGAAAGTTTACTTCTAAGATAAATAGAGGAATGTTCTTTGATAATTTAGCCACACATAGATGTCAGTTTTAATATTCAATTAGTGTGGGGCTTGCTTCTATTTGTGCTAGATTAATATCCTAGAGACCAAATGAAAATATTAACTTTAATCCAACTCTCAACCACATTGTGTTTTTGTCGTTAAAACTTGAAATACACAATGAAGAAAGTCTCATTGAATTCAGTTGGGCTTAGTTTTGAGTATATTTCTAAACCCCAGTCAGTTTTAAAATGACTTTAAAATCACATTCTATGTGTATTGTGTTTTAATTTTTGTCCCGGGTGTTTTAATGTGTTTATGTTTTAATATATTCTTTTATGGTTGTATTTTAACTACATTTTAATATGTGATTTTATAGATGTATTTGACTATGTTGTGCACCGCCTCAGGCCAAAAGGAGAGGTGGGAAATAAATAAATATTATTATTTGATTAATAACAAGATCAGTACATAGCAAACAGGATCACTATGCTGGCTTTTGTATTTGATCACACATCAGGACATTTCCCAAGTGTCTAGGACTGTGTGATGTATCGGCGAATAACACATGCAGATCCGAGTAGGGTGTCCTTTTGCAACTGACAGGTGGCAATTTTGTCAGCACCAATTATTTATTTTTATTATTATTATGACTACTACTATGGATTGTACTATAAGAGGCAAGGTTGAAGATAGAATTAGATTGATTTGAATTTTATAAGCAAATGATTTTGAAGAAGTTTCTGTAGTATTGGTTAGAGTATTATTATATATTTTAAAATATATAAAGGTTTTATCTTTAAATGTCTTTATAAAACTCCAGGTTTTTCATTTCTGAATACTTGGAAGAGGAAAGAAACATGACTGGTTACTGTGGTTTTGAACTTGTTTATTTTAATTGGATATTTTAATAACAGATGTGTTAACTATTGATTTTAACTGTGGTTGTTGTTTATAATTGTATGTGTTGGCATCGATTAGTTGCCTGTTGTGAAACTACCCTGAATCCCCCTCTGGGGGTGAAAAGAGTGGGGTATAAATGTGTGAAATAAATAAATAATATAGTTAGTATTTGAAGAATATGAAATTTAATCCATCTCTCTTTTACAGGCTACTACTCTTGGAGGAACTCATCAGAAGGGTCTTGGTTCATACAATCCCTGTGTTTGATGCTGAAACAATATTCCCAGAAGCTTGAACTTATGCAGATCCTAACACGTGTCAATCGCAAAGTTACAGAATTCACGTCTTGCTCCAATCAACCAGACTTCCATGGGAAGAAGCAAATCCCTTGCATTATGTCTATGCTCACAAAAGATTTTTACTTTCCTCATTAGAAATTCCTCCCTTGTCATACACAGACAGGCTAAAAAAGAGTTTTAGTTTTAACTCTGAGCTAGTAGTGTTCAATTACAGGTGCCTCAGTTCCATTAAACTAAAATCTGTGGAGAGAAACATTTCAATCTCCAAAATAGTTGGATAACTTGATAGTTCAGAAGCATTGCTTTGGGAGAAGGAAACACTGTGGACTTTCAGCAGTTCTCTGACTAAGAGAAATTAAAGGTTCAGGCCAAATAAGTAATTTATTTAGACAGTAAGAAGTTAGTTAATAAGGCACATTCAGTGAGCCCTATTAAACAGTCAGGAAATCACTCGTGGTCTATAGGTGTCCCTTTCCCCAAACCAACACTTGGAAACAATCACAGCTGACGATAAAGAGCAATAACATCGCATTTTCAAAACAGCTTTCTTAATTGGGTTAATTCAAGATTGAACTGTACTATTTATTTTGCAATCGTGTGTTTATGACAACGTGAACTTTTTCCGAATCAGTGTATTTAGGATTGGATTGTTAGCATCATTACAAAGAAACCATGTTTAAAATGGGAACAAGGATTTAATAGTTTGCTAATAAATAGCAAATTCTAAATAAAATGCTTCCTTGCTTTGTGGAAACATTTTGGCTACTTTAATATACCATCTCTACTAAATTTTGTATCTCAGAGGTTTTTAAAAAATCTTAAATTTCATAAATGACAGATGGTGCTTGGAACTTTGTTCCTAACTAGATTCAAGGCCTATCTGGCTTTGTATCTTGCAATTACATTTCAGTTTAGGCATTTGGGATTGTGCATGTACTTGTAGAAGTAGTAATTTGTGCATTGTTGATCAATGTGGTCTAGTTTGTGATTCTTAGATAGTATTAAGTAGGTTTTTTTTTATTTATATAGAGATTGAGGCATGTGGAAAAATGCAACTCCCATTTCCTGATTTTGATTTTGCATGAAAAGTATAATGTTTAAAAATAGAAAAGAAACGAAAGTGGAAGAGAATCCCAACTCCGTAATGTGTCAAAATATTTCGAACCCCCTTGAAGCATGCTGAATAAAACTAAGTTTAGGCTATATGTATTAAAGATCGTGAACTTCATTTTCCACACGTTCTTGAAATCCATCTACATCTCAAACATTCCAATTAAGGGACTGTCTAGGTTCTTAAAGACCTCTGGCATATTTGATTCAATTATTGAACTTTTGTTGTTTACTTGTGTGGACTGCCATTAAATCCAGACATGGAGTCCTTGAGAAGATATTGGACTGCAATGGCCAGCATAGTAAATGGCAATGAAAGTAGGAAACACCATTCTGTAAAGCTGCATGATTCCCATCATGCCATCAAACCACAGTCCCCCTAGGAGTGAGAAAAGTGGTATATAAATACTGTAAATAAAATAAATCCATATTGAACATTTCAAGAAACGGAAGTCCATAACATCTAATTGTTTGCCTTGAGGCACAAGACAACAAATCTTTGTCCTCTTTGTGTTGTCGAAGGCTTTCATGGCTGGAATCACTGGGTTGCTATGAGTTTTCCAGGCTGTATGGCCATGTTCTAGAATCATTCTCTCCTGACATTTCACCTCCATCCATGGCAGGTATCCTCAGAGGTTGAGGGGTCTGTTGGAAACTAAGCAAGTGAGGTTTATATATCTGTGGAATGTCCACGGTGGGAGAAAGAACTCTTGTCTGCTTGAAGAAAGTGAATGTTGCAAATGGCCACCTTGATTAGCATTTGATTGCCTTGCAGCTTCAAAGCCTGCCTCAAGCACACAAGAGTTCTTTCCCCCATCCTGGACCTTCCACAGATATATAAGCTCCAGTTGCCTAGTTTCCAACAGACCCCTCAACCTCTGAGGATGCCTGCTATAGATGTGGGCAAAACGTCAGGAGACAGTGCTTCTGGAACATGGCCATACAACCTGGAAAACTCATCAACCTGTTTGTCCTCTTTTCCATAAGGGGCCCTTCATGGCATTTGAAGACGTTTCTTGTCTCTTCCAGTCATTTACATTAAACATACCCACTCCGATTTCAAAATTTTCTCCAATGCCATAGGCATCATAATTGCATTCATCTGAACCCCAATATCTTTCTTGAAATGGACACATTCCAAATGTATAGTATAATTGTGTTAATTTTGAATTCCCAAACTAGTTGAGCTCCTGCATGATAGAAGTGTTTAATCTGCCTTCTGATCACTATAATAGTCAGGTAGCAAATACCAACGAAAGGTGCAGTGCTAGTGAGTGTAGCATTGAAGGATCCAGCCTGATCCCACAAATGAGTTGTGGTCTGATGAGCTGTAGCACAATTACATATTGCACCACAACTAGCTTGAGGGAGTGTGCTTGTATTACCTTTCAACACCTTTCTCACCAACGATGCAGAATTCCTTTGGTTTGTATGGCTGCCTGGCTTTTAAGAAGGGTTGTTGCGTGGAACATTTGAAATCATAACAGTAGCAATTGTAAATGAATAGCAAGACTAGTTTATGATGTCATAATACAAAATAAACCCATTCCACGAATGCTTGAAGGAACAGATAAGGAGTTCTGCTGCGTACAGCTGGGCTACCTATGTTTCTCAATGGATTGTGGCCATTTAAGGACAGTACAGCCGTAAATTCTTTACACATAGGACAACCCTGTGGAAAAAGAGTTTCAATGTACTCCATTGTGTACTTGAAGTCATAGTTTAACAGGGCATGACAGATTGATCTTTCCATTATGCGTAAGACTTTGGTGCTGATGGCCCATATCAGGACATGGACTCCTTTTACTCAGTCTGCCAACCAACTCTTATGCTGCCCCAGATACACCTAGTTGGAGTGTAAAGCTGGAAGAACAAGAGTGTTCTAGCAACTGACATAATACATGGTTATTTATATAATTAAGCATATATGAATATATAGTCAGCTGAAAAATTAAGTACTTGAAAATTTGGTCTAAGTCCAGTTGCTGGGCCCAAAAATGTATGTGTTTAATTTACCAAGATCCCATTGATCCAGTGGTTCTAGTGTACTCATGGCTAATTGGATTTAGGCCTTACGCATATTTTCCTGTGTTCACAAAGAACAATTTCAGGATTCTAGGCTATCACTGCAATCAAAATTCTCGAAGAATGTCTTGGCGTATTGAATATTATTTCATGTTCTGACCAGTTCAACTTTCATATAAGAATATCTAATAAACCACATTGTCTATAAATTGTTTATCAATGGTCTCTTTTTTTAATTGTAGAAATGTAGGATGGCTTATTCCTATCAGTTTATATTTCCAGTGTCTACTTTGTGAAATCTTTAAGTCTTATTTCGCAGTTGAAAGGGCACGAAAAATCAATTTCTGTTGGCCATTAGTTAATTTTTAAGAAACAGGTGAATAGTTCAAAAGAACACACATATCCCTGAAAATCAAGGAACTTTCCAAAACTTTCGAACTTCCGATCCTTTTTTTTTCCATTTGGCATTCTCTTGGAAGCATGTGTATTCACTTTCCAGAATTTATATTTTTAGACATCCTGCAGCTGAATGTTTAACACATATTTTGAAAACATAATTTAACAAAACGAAGTGAGAATAAATAAATAAAATTGAGGACTATTCGGTGAATGGATAATACTGTATTCCTCTGACAATTGTGAACATTAATTCGGCAACAATTAATGGTACTGACACAAAGATAACATTTAATTTGTAGAAATTCAAGTTCTGATTCCAAGTCCACTTACTTGGAATCTAGAGTTTGTAATATCCATATCTATTTTAAAAATCAACTAAACACTGCAATGGGCTAAACCCTTGTGACAGCAGGACTGAAGACTGACAGGCCAAAGGCTCGAATCAGGGGAGAGCATGGATGAGCTCCCTCTGTCAGCTCCAGCTCCCCATGCGAGGACATGAGAGAAGCCTCCCACAAGGATGGTAAAACATCAAAACATTTGGGCATCCCCTGGGCAAGGTCCTTGCAGATGGCCAATTCTCTTAACACCAGAAGCAACTTGCAGTTTCTCAAATGGCTCCTGACAAGAAAAATAAAGTACACTTCTGCACTACAAAATCAAGTGTTTATTAAATTATTGAGTAATTTTAATCACAACTTTTAGATTCTTTTAATCTGGACCAGACATATTTATGTCACATATTTAAAACATTGTGTAACTTTGCAGAAGGTGTTACACAATGCCTGTTGTGGTTTTGGTAAAATCATATATGCAGTCATCTTGCATAGCACAGAATTGAACTACAGTATTAAAATTCTGCAACCCTGCAACTTTAAAGACACACAACAACATATTTTTGCACATATCATTGAAACAAGCTTCACTGAATACAGTAGGATTTATTTTGAATCGTTTGAGTTGGAAGATGCGTTACCTTATTTTTGCTGACCACTCCTGAAAAACTTCTGCTTCTGACACATGGTAAGGTGTCCTGTCCCTGTCACCCCCCCCCCAACTTACACAGGACATGTCTCATCTTCTATAAATCATAACCCAGCATATGGTGTTGTATCATCTCAGTGCACATTAGTGAAGCGTGTTATTTGGGCATGACATCATTACCACCGGGTGTCACTAGAGAAGAAATAATCCACACAAATGCGAAAGTGAAATGCCACATGCTGTGTGAAATGATCTCACTTTACATCTAGAAGTTCACCTTTGGTTGAAATCCTCACTTGGACGTAGATCCTATTGAAAAAAGACAATTCTGTTTTGAATATGTATTCTTCATGCTGCAACAGACTCAGTGAAATAGCTCACCTTTTGGACTTTGTTATATGTCAGATACAGCTGTAGGTGATGGAAAACTATCGGTCTCAGGAAGATGAATACCCACATATAGATGAGCTGAGATCCTACTTCCTTTTCCTGTTCAATCCTACAACGACATAGTTAAAAAATCTCTCTTTTGCAAAACACCAACATTGCATAATTAATTGCTTGTCTGCAAACATACTTGCTGTTTCTTCAGTATCAGTGAATCAAAATGGATAACTGAAGGAATTGGGTAGTAGTCATAACAGTAATAGTTGTTATTGGCTGGCATTCTGTTAGATATTTATGTCACTGCAAATGTAAAGGTGAATTTCAATGTTGCACAACATTTGTATTCTCAAGAGGGGAGCGCTCGGGGACCATTTTGCAAACATAACCACTATGCATTGTGTCTCAAACACATTAGGGTGCGTTGTGCATCAAGACACACTGTATATTGGGACACTGCACACTAAAAACCTCTGTTGCACAACAGATCATCTTTGACTGTGTTCCTTTGAGCATCATTGTGATTCACTAGTGACTTTGCTTCATTATCATACAGTTTCTGGTATTTCCTTATGGGTTCCTTAAATACTTCCCTGCTTAGCAGTACCTATTTATCTAATCACATTGCTGTTTTCTAAACTGCTAGATAGAGTTGCACTCCAGGCCTGAAGTCACCTATGACCATAGCATGACTCAAGAGTCCAGAGTAAAAACAGTTTATTGCAAAAACACACAAAAGATACATAGTAAAAAAAAAAAGCAGGGATAAGGAAATAAAGTGTGGAATCCAAAAAGTCAGCAATCAATTGTCTCTTATAAATCCAAAAGCAATACAGTCTAAATACAGTCCCAAAATACAAAAGCAGCTTAAGTCCATAAGCAAAACTTGAACAAGAATACAAAACATGAACATGGAGAACTCCCAGGATACTTAAATCCAAAACAAGAACTGGAGAAGCCAGGCCTAGCTGTACTTGAAAGCCATGTTGCCTGAACTGAAATCAGTGCCTTTTAACTCCTAATAAACAGACATTAAAGCATTACGTCTGGCTTGGAATCTCTGCTTCCTACGAAGCCATGGTGATCTACAAAGCTGGCTATCTGCCTTAATCGGCAAGTATGCTTCCTTGCTTAGATCAGGATTGCCAGGTGCTTTCTTATCAATTCATCTTCACTAGACTCCTTATTTAGAGAGGATGATTCCAACTCCATGACTGGCCTTGAGGTTCAGATGCAATTCTCAGGCCTTGCCTCTGTGCCTTTGTCCCTATCTGAAACGGTTTCACATTCTTGGCCTGCATCAGAATGAATCCCAGGAAAGCCCACAGTCCTGTCTGACTCTAAGACATCAGTGAACCTATCAGCCCCTAGCTGCTGTGACTCCTGTTGAGCTACAACAGGTAGGCAGAAGTTGGGCTAAAGGCCAGGAGCTCACCCTGACCCAGGCTTCGAACTGTCAACCTTTGGGTTAGCAAGATTTACTGCAGCTGGCGATTAACCTGCTGTGCTAAAGCCCGGCCCAATGTGTACATAAAACATAAAAAGGATGCCACTCATTATCTTATCAAGAAATTAAAAGCATATTTTAAAAACATAATTTAACAAAACATAACATGTGAATAAATAAATAAAACTGAGAACTATTCTATCCACAGATAATGCTGTATTCCTCTGACAATTGTTGAACATTAATTTGGTAACAATGTTACCGATACTGAGCTTAGATTTGGTTTACAGAAGTTGGTTACAATACATCTGTTTTCCATTAAGCACAAGCTTCTTTCGTGCATGTAATACAATTGCCTGAATTCACATGCTCTTTAGTTATGTTCAAAAGCTTTTCTATCTCACTACCAGAAGATGGCCCACTAACATTTGTTTTGTGCTTCATCTCTCCTCTTTAATTTCAAAGCCATTTCCTTCTCTGTATCCAACAAGTAAATATGGTTCAATAAAAGGGTAATTATGACGTCTTTTCTTGATTAAACTTCAAGCTTTGTGCTGCTGAGTATGAGTATATATAGGTGTGTGAAATTCCCCAACAAAGCCTTCTTGTTCTCTGTGTATGCTCACTCACTATTATTAACACAATATAATATTGTCATCCTTCCAAATTTGACAGTAGAATATTATATTTGTAACCTTTACTAATTGTATACCAAAAAGTCACAGTAAAATGTTGAATTCAAATTTTTACATATTTCAAAAATTTTATATATTTAAGAGCCAAAACAAGCAATTATGCATTTCCTGGTAGAGAAATGCATTTATTGCAATGGGACATTTTTAGAACCTTGGCATTCTGTATACATCTAAGTCACCTACATCTCTTAATGTCTATTTCTCCTACTCACCCTACCAGAATCTTATTTTCCTCTATCAAACTTTTATCATGTTTTTCTCTGAGGAAATGGACAAGATCCACTTTTATTTCCATTCTAGTTGTCAAACTTTCTATTTTTAATGCTTTCTCTAATTCTGTCATTTGGTTCAGTTCCACTCCCACCTAAGTCACTATGTCTTTCATGTCGCTTCCCCAATATTTTCAATCTCACCTGTCTTCTTCTGTCCTGTTTATTGTCTCAGACTATTAAAATTATCTGTAGATTCTTTTCTTCCCTCAAGAATCTTTTTATTTTTTCTTAGATAGTACATCTAGTCTCATACTTCCTTCCTTCCGTGTTGGTTGGTTTGTTTTTGGCTGCACTTTATCATTGCAACTTGCTACTTACATTCTTATCCCATTCATTCCTTCAAAAATAGGATGAATATGTATTTCTTCTTACTGGTCTCTTTTGAGTTTACGTATCTGTGGGAGGTCCTGCAACCAAACACCAAACATCATTACTCATACTCCAAACACTAACAGAATGGACACCAGGAGATGACCCAAATCCTGTATTCACATTGTGACTGAGTCAGAGGCGGCCCTAGGTAATTTTCAACAGTAAGCAAATAGTATTTTGGCGCCCCCCCCCCAACCAATCATTTATATATATTTTCTGTTTGTCGTGGGAGTTCTGTGTGCCATATTTGGTTCAATTCCATCATTGGTGGAATTCAGAATGCTCTTTGATTGTAGGTGAACTATACATCCCAGTAACTACACTTGCCACATTTGCCCCCTTGTCTGGCCTGCTTTGGGTTCGGAGGCATGCCTGAAGACCTCGGCGTGTGCACCAAAAGTCACCTCTTCTCCTGACTTTCTCCTCAGCCATTGGGACCAAGAGAGAGAGAGAGAGAGAGGTAGAGATGCCCACCTTTCCTGAAGGTAGGCGCAAAAACAAAGGAGGGAGCGGAGGTGGGAGATACCTCCAGCCGGAGGCTCTCTCTCTCTCTCTCTCTCTCTTGGTCCCAATGGCTGAAGAGAAAGTCAGGAGAAGAGGCGACTTTTGGTGCGCAGGCTGGGGTCTTCAGACACGCCTCCGGACCCGAAGCAGGC